AAAAAAAATTTAAAAACTAGAGAATTCCATTCATATCATTTTGTGATGTTAGAACACTCGCCAAAACAATTTCATCTTTATCTAATCTAATCAGTAGTAATAATTGTATATACAGCGAAAGCTAAAAAGCTAATCTTTGACCCATATCAATGCCAATAGCGATATCATACAGTAAATAATAAATTATTTAGGGACGATTACTTGCCTTGGCTGCTCTACGAAAACGAGATCTCTTGCCTAAAATTAACGTTTGACGTCTGTGAGAAGCCTCCGCGACGTATTAATTTTGGAGGACGAGTTAGATACACGTGCGAGAATTAGGTGAAGCCAAGTTGAATGTCTTAGGCTTTTTTCTCAGTACAGTTGAATTGCTAAACCCGATTTACAAGTAGAACTAGGCTAAGAAAATTATGGTTACAAAACGTAATTGGAAATAGGTCTAACCAAATACGCATTTTGTCTAACCGTTAATCAGGAATTATAGCTGAGCATTATGATACACACATGCATTCTTCCTTCCTGATCTCAACGAGTCGTAGGATTTGCCTAAAGCTTTTTTAAACTCCTCGTTTTGTTATTGATTCGTATTGATTGATAAAAATTTTGTATTTGTATCCATTACATCAGAACTCACTTTATTGAATCGATTGGCTTCTTCGGCAGCTTCACGTCTCAATTTTACGGCTTCTTCCGCCTTTTTCCTCGCTTCTGCTCGTTCTACTAGAAGACGTTCATGCGCGCGGCGACCGCGTTCCAGCGCCTTTATCGCATCCTCTTTTGTGAAAATATGGCGATGTCGTCGCGGAGTACGACTTGAGGAAGTCTAACATATATAGTTGTGAGAAGACAAATATAATGCTATTTTATAAGAAAACTGTGAATTTGCAATGAACCTACCCCGGAAGTCGCTGTTGAGACTGATGTTGAGACAGAAGGTAATGGAATACGTGTAGCTTCGGAACGAGCCTCAGATGTTATATTGGACATCTTTTCGGATATTGATTGGCGTAATTCTTTTCTGGAAAAATGTCAAATTTGAGCATTACACGCAAATATTCATGTATGGGATCACTTGATGGCTGGCACTTCGCTTTGTAATCAACTGTACATCTACTAGATTTGATACGGTAATGCCTAAATTAGTAAATAAGAGAAAATCACTACTTATAACTTAGGATACTAGGTGGAAGCAATTCATAATGAGATAAATACTGTTAGTTGTAGGAACACTTATCCAAATCTGCCTTCCATATCTACAAAGCGTTTCTCCGGAGAAAGTTATAGGTTTCCTTCCGTCAAGGATGGCTTGCAGAACAATGATTAAAGTGCTCAAAAGTTGAATTTTGACCCAACCCAGCAGCTCAAAAGATGAAAACATTTCTTTCTAATGAAACCCTTTGCTTGCAATATCAGGTTGAATTTGATGTTTTAGAGCAATTTTTGACAAGGCGTTAAGCTACTTTTGGCCAGTAAAATTTTCATAACTTCCTTCAATAAACGGTTTCGCAGGTAGAAAAGGCTTTGAAATTAATCCTGTTTCTGACCAAATTTTCCTTCCCTTGTTAATAGCGTGATTCCGGTAAATTTAGTAAGTGAATGCAAGATAGAGTAGCACCGACCTGCCAGAAATGCAGCAGGGTGGTCACTCACCGGATCCTATTCAATTTACTTTTCTTGTTATTTTGCAGCTGCTCCCGAATCAATTGAGCATTCTCAGCGGTTTGTTGTCGTACCTTAAAAACAGAAATTCGAAAAGGCTTTGTTGACAAGAAAACTGATAAATTCTCCACTTGGTTATGATGGTAAAGTGATTTTCATGTTGAAAGATTAATCGAGAAGAGATGAATACTAGAAGGACCTACAAGAATTGTGTAGTTTCTTAGCAGCAAAGCTGTAATCATAGAAAAATTCCGA